CGCAAAAAATAAGAATATGGCAGAATGTTTATTAATTTATTATTTAAAAAATATGGATTTCGATTTTATTTATAAAAATAAATGATTTAGATATAACTTTTTTTTTAAAAATTTATAACTTATTTTTGTTATAGACGCCATTTATATGGGATCGAATCGGCATTTTATAATATTAGCCGATAATCGATATTTTTGGGTGAAATATCGGCCCGATCCGATCAGATCCGATAAAAAATATCGGTACATCCCTATAAATTATTTAAGATTTATCGAGTCTCGTATTTTAAAATTGGCTTATTTAATCGCTCAAATAGACTGAATTGCCAAAAAACTATTCAAATTAAGAGAAAATATATGAAACAATAAATATTTTTTCCTTAATATTATTTATTTTAAGAAAATAGTCACTATTAGCAATTATTGGTATGCTTTCGCGTTTTTTTCCGATATTGACTTCGAGTTAATAAATTTTCTATATAAGATTGGTAAAATAGTTTTCACTATATTGCCTTAGCGATATGGATTTCTCTTTCGCTATAAAATTTTAATTATATATTTACGTTAAAAGATAAAGAAATCTCGGTAAGATTTTGCTATAAAAAATTACTCAATATGATATTCGCTGAATACATTTGCGAATGTGGATTCGCGACAAGTTTATCTGTAGAATCAATTCGTTTTAATAAACATTCCCGAAAATATGTTTTGTGATAAAAGTTTCGCTGTCTTAATAATTTGTTAAATTTAAAAATGTGAGTTGTAGAAAAATCTTCACAAGCTTTTTGAGCAAAAATTAAAAATAAATTGTGATTTCATCTTGAAATTTTATAGAAATTGCAAAAGATAAAAGAATATTAATAAAAAAAATTTCGAATTTTAGGTAAAATTTGATCAAAATTCAATCTTCTAAAAAGATTTTTTTGAAGAATTAAAACAATAAAAATTTTAATTAGTTTCAAATTATTTTATGACCAACATTATACTTTTTAAAAATATTTTTAAAAAGAAATAGACTCCCCTGTCAATTAATATAAAAAAACGATGTTTATAATTTATATTTTTCAAAATATAAGTTTTAGTAATTATGACATTTCCGAAGAATTATCTTCCTGGGGAATTTTTTTTCCTGAAAATTATTTTCCGAGGGGAATTTTATCCCGGTAATTATTTTCCTAGATTCAATAATTTGGCTTAAGATTAAATTAAAAACTTTAAAAACCTATTAAATATAAAAATATATAATTTTACATTATAGGCTCCTATAAATTTGTTTTAGCAGCCCTGCAATTAGAAGAGAATGATGTAATGCATGATTTTTATTGAAATCATAATATAACATATTTATACTTACCAAACAAAAAAAAATTCTAAAGTATATCTACTAGATAACGACGCTTTTCGTTATGCAATCAATTTGCGCTTGGGCGTACCCCTAAACCATTATATTTGCATTAAATGCAATCAATCGGCAGACGCGTATGGGAGACACGCTCTCCACTGTAAATTTATATCAAAAATCAGCCGACATGATAAAATAAATGCAATAATAGCTTCTTTTTTAAATAAAGCCAATTTTCCCTGTATTTTAGAACCTACATCCTTTTTAGATAAAAAACGCCCTGACGGCAAAACCGTCGTACATTTTTTCATGGGAAAGCCTTTAATGTGGAATTTTCCTGCTTTGATCACATGGCTCCATCTAATAATTCCCATGATCCCCTTAACAGAGACGAATCTCTAAAAAATATAAAATACTCACACCTAATGTGTGATAACCACTTTGTTCCTATAGCAGCTACATCAAACTGCTCGACAAGCGGCTTCAGATCTATTCAAAACAATATCCAAATCAATAAAAAAATCATACCTTTCTCCATTTTACAAACTCAAGCAGGAAATCACCGTATCTATAATTAAATCTAATTATCAAATATTTAAAACATCATGGCCCGACCTCGCCATTTGATATTTTTTTTTAAATGTTTTTTTTTCTTTTTATAAAAATATACATTTGTATCAATCTTCTTCTTTTTTTTAACTTAAACTGATATATGACATATTTTTTTATATTCTTTATATTATAAAGTTAATTTTTAAATAATAATATTTTATCATATTTGTATATGAATTTTAATAAAAAAAAATTTTTTTTAATTTTTCGTTTTTGGTGGAGGGTTATTTCTGATCCTTTATTTAAAATCTAAAAAATGGGGAATTAATATCCGTGGGAGATGTCAGAGATTTGCTTAACATATTAAGCTTGTCATGCCACAAAAGGTGGCTCAAACTAATCTAACATATGATGATTTAAAGCTAGTCATTTATGAGTAACATTTTTTTAACTCAGAATTGCGTCTTTTTTTTTGTTTCTAAATAATCAAAGGTTAGTTAAATCAGGCGACCGTTTTTTAAAAGCACATTGAAACATGGGGACTAGGAAACTTTTTAAAATAGCTGGAAATAAGGTGGTTGAAACTTTGCGAAATAAATGTAAGCCAAGATTGTTTGGCTTAATTGAGAAGTGGATCACTTAACTAGATATACGATGAAATAAAATCATTCATTAAATTTGGTGACCCAAGACCTCCTTAGTTAAGCAGACTAAGAGGCAAAAGATCAATTAAATCAAAAATTATTAGAATTAATAGAGATCTGACTTCATGTTTAAATTTGATTCAAATGAATTTATAACTGAACAAAATATTAATGAATCTTTTATAATTATAGATAGGTGGCTTATCTATTTTAAATAATTTCAGATCGGACTAGATTGGACCTAATACTTTTTTAAAAAGTATGGTCCAGTCCAGGCCAGGCTTAAATTTTTAAATATGATATTACATTTTGTCAAATAAATTGATAATATTTTAAAATTCTTAGAAGAAACAAGGAGCTAATATTTTTTATTGTAGAATATTTATTCTTTTTTCAAAAAAAAATAAATTTTTTTATATTAATAAATTCTGGATGGGTGGACAAATGATTTTTAATTTGGGTTGGACTTTTAGCAGAGTTATTAAGGAGCGGCGCTCCTTTTTAAAAACTCCTGGAGCACCCCTCCTTTTTTAAAATGGGGAGCGGGAGCTAGCTCCTTTTAGGGCTGGAGTGGAGGAGCGCCGCTCCACCTCTTCTTTAAATTTAATGTATAAATTAAATTATTTTTGAAATATTAATAATATAACTTCTAAAAGATGTTGATCCAAATGATCAAATAAATTGAAGGGCAAAATGTCTTTTGTATTAAATAAATTATTTAATTTTCAAAAAACATCTAAAAGTAAAAAATCTTTCTTTTAAATACAAATTGATTTAGAAGATTTTTTTGGATTCCATGAAATTGATCATCAGGAAGAAATATATTGGACAAATATTTTTTTAAATAATGATACCAAAATACTATTTTTGATAAATTCCCTGAATTAAAAAATATCTTTATAAAATACAATACCCCGCTTCCCTCTAGTGCTCCTGTGGAGTGCCTATTTAGTATTGCAAAACAGGTTTTAGGGGAGGCGTGGAGGATGCTTGTTAGATTTTAATTTAGAAAATTTATTACTTTTAAAAGCTAATAAAAGGTTATAAATATTTTGATAGATCATTTAATATAAATAAAACTTTTTGATAAAAAAAATATCATTTTGTTTTGTATACCTTCTAAAAAATGAAAATCTAAGGAACGGTTATGGAAAGGCACTCCATTACTTGGAGCGGGAGCTAACTACTTTTGAAATGTAGTAGAGGGAGCAGGAGCTAGCTCTTTTTGAGAAGGTAGGAGCGTGAGCTAGCTACTTTTAAAAAGGAGCATTAACAACTCTGGCTTTTAGGGACTAAAAAAATTTATTAAAAAATTTTTGGCAATTTTTACAATACCATTTGAAATGCATTATTTGTGTATCTAGGAGGAAAAAAAATAGGCAGTTTTAAAAGTAGCTACAAAAGTATCAAATTATATAAAAATTTCACTAGCTATATTGCTCTCTTTTTTTAAAGTAGCAAATAAAGCTACCTTTAGGGAAATAGTTGTAGAAATGGTGAACTAGATTTTTATAGGCATTAAAGTATTATTATTATATGCATTTAAACAATTATATATAATATTAATTTTAAAGTGGTTTATATTTTTTCATATTTGCCATAATTTAAGTACCATCTAAAATTATAACATTATATGATAAAATAATCACTAAATCTAGGAATAAATCAGATTGCAGATCGAGCTTAGAATCAAGATCGTTAAAAATAGGATCCTATAAAAAATTTTAAAATATAAATAATTGAAAAATCAATATAAATTAATTAACATTTGCCCCTAAAGTGAACCAAGATTATTTAAATGACAAATTAAAAATCTGAGCCAAGCCTAAAAAATAAATAAAACCCAAGGAACTAGACCAAAAATGCTTTTTTTATTCAGGTTGAAATAAGAAAATCTTAGGCAGTGAAAAATGTTTACATTTTCAAGCCTCCAACGTAAATTAGTTGGGCAATAAAAATAGTTTAATTAAACATAAGTATTTTATTTTTTTAAGAATAAATTTGATAATTAATTAATTTTCTTTTTAAAATTGTATTATATATATATATTTATGTTTTTAAAATAATTATTGTGTATATAACATAAAATTTGAAGGATGCAATTTCAACATGCTTGATCATATTTATAATGTAAAAATATATTATTTATCAGCTTAATTATTATTATTTAAAATTCATAATACAATAAATATCTAAGAATTATTTGTATTTTTAGATATTATAAACTAAGAATAAATTATCAATTGACAATATTAAAGCTTATTTTTATATAGTATACAATAAAAAATATTAAATTAATATAGAAATAATAATCATTTTTAGTTTTCCAAAATGACTATAATTCCTTAAACAAAAACATTTTTACCCTAATTCATGCATGTTTGTACTTATCTTCATAGAAAAATTGATTATATTATTAAATATATATTTTAATAAAATAATATTAAAAGCTGAAGAATACTTACATTTGATTATTTATCGTACAATTGAATAGATAAATCAAAAATCTCTTATAAAATAATTGACAGATTATTCAATAGTGGAACTTCGAATTTTATTTTTTAAAATGATTATATTATGTATGAAATAAATTAAGTAATATTATTATAAAATTTATTAAACAATGTAATATAATTATTAAAAAAAATACTAAAATGTCCTTATTCTATAATATTTATATCAATATATTATTCATCTTTATGCAAGTTTTGACTATTGCAGCGGATATATAATATTAAAAATTGTTTTCTGAGTTAATCAATTACGCACTTAACCATATTTTATTCCCCTTCTTAGGCAAATACCCCATATATCGTTAATGTAGATACTTATCTAGGGAAATGTGTATCTTACTTAAATGTTTTCGATCCTAAGATAGAGCTCCAATTGCTGAAATCAAATAGTGTTTTTGTCAGGGAAGACTGAGGAGCGAAGGACCCAATCAGAAGTGCTAAGGCTGCAAGTAATAAATTAGTATTTTATTACTTATTCATTTCTATTTATTCAAATTTTCTGTTTATAGTTATAGATATATGTCTTACTAGAATAAGCATTAATTAACATAGAAATATAAAAGAGATGCAGTAAAAAATTATAGTATATACACTTAGTATATATAACATTTAAATAACTTTCTTAGTTTAATTCTCATTTGTAATTTTTTATTATATTTACATAAGATCAATGTAACTATAATTTTTAATAGATCTTCAATATTATTCATTTCAAATAAATTATTAAGAATATAACCCTTCAAATAATAATAAAAAATATACATACGACTTTAACAACATTATTTTTAATTAATAACCAATCAAATTTATGATTGACATATCTCTTATATATCTATATTATAATTTTCCGATGTCCTCACTACGTCATCGTGAAGTCATGTCATCGTTACATCATGTCATTGCTACGTCATGTCCCGCTGCGTCATGTCATCGGCAGGGTTGACAGGTCAAAATTTTCAAATTGCGAGAGAAATTTGGTATTATGCGGGAGAAATATGAAAATTGCGGTAGAAATATAAAAATTGCTAAAATTTTTTTTATATATACAAAGTCGGTAACTTGTGACTTGGTCTGACGATCTTTTTTAAATATAAATGAATGTAAACAAGATAAAGTTTAAAAAAACGATTTTTTACAATTAAAATTATATTTTATGCGAATGTCCCGCAAAATGACCGCAATTGGAAATCTACCGTGTGTGTGTATATAAAATTATAGGGATTTAATTATCACGTATCACGTTTAAATACATAATAAGGTACTCCAAAAATAAAAAATAATACAGATGCAACTACAGTTATGGGCAATTGTAAACACTTATCTTGGTAGTACAACATTCACAGAGATACTTATCATCACAATGTTGGTAGAATCTTTTTCCCATAATATTTAACGACTCTAAAATAAATGAAAACTATACTTGTAGAACAAAAATAAGCAAGGCTATCATCAATGTTTTAGGACCTAAATCCAGGAGGTCAATTCTTGACGATTTGAAAAATGGGAATACATATGCAATTCTAAGAGATGCATCTAATAAGGGAAATATTAATATTTCCCTTGATCCTCCGCTATTTCAAAAATTAAGGTCGTTTCAATAAAACTATTAAATTTTTCCCCCTCAAATAGTGAAAAATCCTAAGATATAGCTAACCATATAATGGTAAATATAGCAGATTCGAGATTATCAATAAATTGCATGTCAGCTTTCTGATCTGAAAATGCCTCAGGGTAATTCCATACCAAATCGATAATTTTTCAACCCGACTTTTTTAATTTCAATAAAATTTTACATGCTGAGAGAATATCATTAGAAAACATCGAAACCAAAATTTTACCCTCCTAGTACTCATAGTTCCTGAGATATCATTGGTCAAACTCAAAAGTTCCAAAAATGACCTTTTTTCGAAAAATACGATTTTTAAAAATTGAGATAAGTTAAAAAATAATGATTTTAAAAATATAAATTATATGTCATTTTGTAAATCTATTAAAGGCCTTTTATTAAATATTAAGGATTTTTTTTGTAATAATATTGTTGCTGTTTTTATTTACGTTATAAATTTTAAACATAAAAACTCCAAGTGTCGCTTTTTAAATTTTTATGAATTTAATATTTTCTTATTCTCTAATTTTATATCTATTCATAAAAAAATTTAAACTTGGGACAACCATAGATTTTTTAGTTATTGAGATTTAAAAAACTAAAAAATGAATATTTTTTTCAAGAATAGATGGCGCTCTTTTATAAAATAACGCATTTTGTTAAGATTATTTTTTTTTTAACTTTTTCAATTTTTAAACATATATAGCATGATTTTCTATCATTAATATCATGAAATGAGATTATTTAGCTGCGGTTATAATCATTTTTTTCTTATAAAAAATTTAAATCTTCGAAAATTTTATAAATTTTGTAGATATAATAGATAAATTAAAATTCATGAAAGTTATTACCTATTCTCGGTTTTTCATTAAATTTAGTTTTTTTGACGCCATGATAATTTCGTGTTGCGATAAATTATATGTACGCCCTGTAGCCGTTGATAGGCTTACTATTGTTAAAATATTATTTTATGGCATGAAAAGGATATCTTGTGCAGCTGGATAAACAAAAGAATTTACTGGTCCTCTAGGCTGAAGAAAATTAATTTTTACTTCATCTCTAATTACATTCACTTCTTGTACAAATCCTAACCACCAATCGTTTTCATATGCACATGTTACATATCCTCTAATCTCAACGATTAATTGATCCTCAATCAAAGGATCCTCACGTGGATATACTATATTCTCCACAATAAATGTCTGCTAATAAGAATATAGTTTAAATGATTATATTATTCTTTCAAATATTTAAGAACTAACCTTTTTTGATCGTTCACTCGTTCCCCCTTTTCAATGCTAGATTATGCAATCTTTTTTTCCTGATAATACCCTACTAACTTCATCACTGCAGATTTTTTTTTAACAATATCAACTGTTTTTTATTGAGAATTTTTGCAGGCTTTCGATTTGGAGTTGAAAGAATCACCTTTTCTTTTAAAACGATTTTGGAATTATATGCTATATGATTATGTAGCGTTGAATGTCGTTTTTATTTTATTTGCGCTCCAATTAGGAAGCAGAATGGTCAGCAATTGATATATTTTTATTTTTAGATAAATTAGGATATTGTAATTTCATATTATTGAGTAATATTATTATTATATTATCTACCCGATTCTGGATTGTTAATTATTATATCTGAAATAAGCTTATATTTTCGCTATCCTTTTTTTTTTGGATAATTTTTTTCAGTTAGTTTTTTTTCTTAATAGAAGATATTCCAATTTCGTTTAAAGTTATATTGATTGTATCTATTGATGTTGATGCTGTGTTGATATTATTTACATATTAGATATCAGAATAGTTATATTTTCAATATTTTTTGTGATAACCGTTTACGACATTTATCACAAATATAGTGTTCCACCCAGAGTTGTACATTTGCTCAAAATAAAAAGATCTTCAAAGATCAAATTTGAAGATCTTTTATTTTTTAAAAATTTTGTGTATAGATCTTTGAAGATCGCTGCGATCAACGATCTTCATGATATTTATTTTTTTACCCCTTTGTTAAAAGCCCAGATGTTTTTCAAATTTATTAATATAATATTTCTTTTATGTTTTATACCTCTCCTCCTGCCTTGATGAAAATTGAAAAACATCTGGGCTTTTAATAAAGGGGTAAAAAAATAAATATCATGAAGATTTTTGAAGATCGTTGATCGCAGCCAAAATTTTTAAAAAATAAAAGATCTTCAAATTTTACGATCTTCAAAGATCTTGCTCAAATTTTTGAGCTAGATCTCGCTCAAAAATCTTCAAAGAAGATCTTTTGTACAACTCTGGTTCCACCTCAATGTTTGGATATTGTTTCATCTACGTCATGACTTTACGCGGGTTCTTTTTATAATTAAGGTGTTTTTTAAAAGGATTTAACGCATTTATATTTATACATTATAAATAATTTTATAAAGAAAAATAATTAATATCAAAATATTTGTAAAATAAAAATTAATTAATATTAGGGCAGGTGCATGAGAACTTGCTTTTATCTTTCAACAATTAATTATTATATTTTCTTGTAGGAGATATCGGATTAACTATTTTTTTAGGAAATTTAATCATTTATTATGAAAACAACTAATTTTTACAAGTTATCAATATAATAATAATAATAGGTAAGCCTATCAAACTATCTATATAATATTTTTTCATGATAGTAATGCTGGAAAATCTTATTATTTATGTTCAAAAATGAATAAAAAGTTTAAAAAAATAATAATCTTAACAAAACACGTTATTTTATAAAGGAGCGCCATCTATTTTTGAAAAAAATATTTATTTTTCGATTTTTTAAATCGTAATAACTAAAAAAGCTGTCCCAAGTTTAAATTTTTTTATGTATAGATATAAGGTTAGAGAACAAAAAAATATTAAATTCAAAAAAATTTGGAATGCGAAACACCTGAAGTTTTTATGTTTAATATTTGTAACGTAAATAAAAACCGCAACAATATTATTTCAAAAAATCCTTAATGTTTAATAAAAGGCCTTTAATAGAGTTACAAAATGACATATAACTTATATTTTTAAAACCATTATTTTTTATCTTATCTCTATTTTAAAAAATCATATTTTTCGAAAAAAGGTAATTTTTAGCACTTTTGACCATTGATATCTCAGGAACTATGAGTACTAGGAGGCTAAAATTTTGGATTCAATGCTTTCTAATGATATTCTATCAGCATGCAAAATTTTATCGAAATTAAAATGGTAGGGCCGAAAAGTTATCGATTTGGTATGGAATTACCCCTCAGTGAATTTGGTAAAAACAGAGTGTATTTACAGAATTGAGTCAGCACAATTTTGGTCGCGATATGTTCCTAATACCCGCCATCGATAGAATTTTAAAATTTTATAAACCTTTAAAAAAATGTTTCATAAATAAAGATTATAAAAGCTGTCTTAACATTTTGAAAATTATTTTCAATAATGAATGGCAGAGGTATA